ACAAAAAAATACTGTAATTATATTCCATTACTCCTTCAATACATTTAATACATGTCTACATTAATAATATAATAAAATCTGACACGAATACCCTCATTTCTGACACAATACAATGGTGCAGTTAAGTGTTACTACAGTAAATCCATGGTAAATGATGGCGATTTGTAGATTAAAAAGTCTTCTGACTGTATCGTTGCGCACAGTGTTTCTGCTCTTTGTCAGCGCTTTCATCTGGCTGTAAACAGAGTTATTTGTGTTCCTTGCTGAAGTCAAGCGCTTCACACTGGATCTCACAGCGCTGTTCAGTGTCGCGTGAGCGAGACTCATCTGAACGCATCTGCTCTGGTGAAGCTCGCGCCGCACCGCTGTTTGAGCTTTGATCCGAGCGGATAAACGCTCCGAGTGGCGCACTTCAAATGACTAGCACTCTTTCGTTCCGCCTTTGCCACATAAATGATTATTATATCGAACTCTTGTTATCGTTTATCGAGTAAATTTATATTGCGCGATAATTACCGTTATCGATTTATCGCCCAGCCCTAGGCCAAAATACAACTATTTGAAAATCTGGAATCTGAGGGTGCAAAAAAATCTAAATATTGAGAAAATCACCTTTAAAATTGTCCAAATGAAGTTCTTAGCAATTCATATTACTAATCAAAAATTAGGTTTTAATATATTTACTGTAGGAAATTTACAAAATATCTTCATGGAACATGATCTGTACTTAATATCCAAATGATTTTTAGCATAAAAGAAAAATCGATAATTTTGACCCATACAATGTATTGTTGGCTATTGCTACGTGTGACTGGTTTTGTGGTCCAGGGTCACATATGTTGAGTCAAACAAAATAAAAACAGAAGTCTTTTCTATCATTGTGTCTTCACTGTCACTTTGATCAATTTATTGCATCCTTGATTAATTAAAGTATTCATTTATAAAAAAAAAAAATTTAAAAACTTGACCAAAACTTTTGAACAATGCTTTATATTATTAGATTTTCTCTTTTACTTTCATTTTCACAGTATACATTTTGAAAAAAAATTGCAACAATGCTCAGTTTTTTAAGGCTATTTTAGAACAAACAATCAAAAGACTGAAAAGCACAGAAATGCAGATCATTTTTATCTATATAGCCCAGTCATAGGTAAACAACACAGCATGTATTCTAATTTCAAAAAAATCTCACTGACATTTAAAGATATGAATTATGACCCCAAGCATCTAAATAAAGATTGGTCAGTTGTAAAAAGCTGAAAAATCACTCAAGTTTTTGTTATAAAGTCTCGACGAGGTAGGCGACCACAGGCGGCTACCATTACCTTCATTTCACCCAAATACCAGGACCTTTCCTTAAAGGAAAAGGACAGAATGTACTATATCGGGATGGGAGGCAGGAGGAGACCCTCCTCTCCTCTCTATATAGGAATGGGAGGGGACAGGAGTAGATTTACAGCATGTGTGAATATCTGGACTCTGAGCAAACAGCTTTTCCTAGAATCCGTGGAACACTGGCTGCTCTCCGGTGGGGGCCGAGACCCCACAACCACACGCCTCCAAAGGGGCTCTTTTCCTTCTTACCATGCATGTAACCTCATGGGGACGACAGATTATATCTGGATCCAATAAACATCAGTATTATTGCTTTAGAAAGCACTCGATGGCTACTACAGCTACGTGTTGAGACAAATACGCGTTTTCTGCAGATTCCAAACGTATGGATGATGTTACACATGAGCTAGCTGGATCGGATTGTAAAACCACGAGCCAATGAAAAACATACTATCAAAATAAGGTAACCATAACAGTGGTTAACACCATAACAGTGGATTTCCAGAAAATATTATTATTTTATCACTAAGGTCATATTTATAACTCTGATGTGGATCAAAGCAAATGGATTTGTCATAAGAACATGGTTTGAAGTAGAATAAAGATAAGGTGGGAATCATTATGCAAACAACCCAAAGGGACAGATCCAACAAAAAGACCGTTTTAACACCTTATTTGTAAATTATACTGCAATCTAAAGCACAACATATACTTTCTGTTTTTATATGTATGCAAAGTTATGCATGCAGTGCAACTCGTATAACACTAAAAAGTTATAATAATCAGTGTCTGTCCGATACAAATCTTTTTTTGTCAGATAGGGTATCAGTCAGATGAGACAGATTCACATCCTATACTGTGTGTCATTGTTGTTGTTAATGTTAAGCAGGGCCGCACGATATATCGAAATATGCAATATGGCTTAGTGCAATTGTAAAATCGTACAGGCTGTGATTTAATGAAATTAATATATGCTTTACTGGTTTTAGAGTGAAGCGGAGCATTTACACACATGCACTTCATGACACAGTGTTTCAGTGTCTGACAGCTTGCTTCATTTACTGTGAATCGAGCCCCTGTGAGACACTGATATCATGGGCTGTACGCCTGTAAATGAACACAGTGCCGAGCTTCACTCTGAAAATGGTATTTGACGACAGCCCACCAAAATTAAAACTATATGATTTACTTTTGAAAACGAAGAAATTAAGGCGTAATTAATATTACTTTAATTTCAAAGTAAAATAAAATTATTGTTTAACATACAATATATTTTTTCATAAAAAATCACAAAAATTAATTATTTTTATAATCATTGAATTGGTCAAACACAAAGGGAATTTGGCCTACCAAAACTCAAAATTTGTGAAATGGTTAATGAAAGAGGTTTGAGATGGTTCTTGTAAAAAGGAAATCAAAAGTATGAACACATAAGGGCTGGGTTTTGACCATATACTGTATAAAAACATGGACGTAGTGTCCGTGACGTAAAAAAATCTCTCAACTAATGCTGTAAAATATACATGAGAGTCAGTTGGTACTACATTACTATAATATTGAAGGCTTAAATTGACTGATTTGTCAAAATTACACTTAATTAAGTTTTTAAATAATAAAGTTACAATTACATAATAATATTTCTACTTCAATTCGTTTTTTTTTTTTTTTATATATATTTAAATGGTGGCTATCATAAAAAAATATAAATTAAATTTTGAAGAACAGTTAAAGTTATAATGAATATACTATATGGTGCATATATTTAGCAAAATGC